AGCCAGGAGTGGCGACAGGCCACCTAGTGTGACTGCAGAACTGAACTCACATGTTGAGTCTGCTGTAATTAATGTGAATCCACCGCTTGGGGCTAATGGCTACCATACTGGGCTGCCCAGGTAGAAACTCCAGAGGTCCAACCTGGGATCCTGAGGTTAAGCTGCACCCCTGGAAATCAGCTGGATGAAGCAAAGCACGTTGGGGCCCTGCTCTCATAGACACATGGTCTCCTCTCTACACCAGGGGCCTCAGACAACTGATGCTTCGCGTTTCCAAACCCAGACACTGAGTTAAGCCCCTCACGTTAACTTACACGGGCCCAGGGAAGTCACCCGGGGAGGTGAGCACGGGGACATCACCCATCTCACAGATGAAGGGGCTGAGGCTTGTGCTGCTGGAGGGACAAAGGATTTGAACTCAGGTCTGAGTATTCCAGAGTTTCAGCCCCCATCCTAAGAGCCCCATTCCACCCCGCCGCCCCCGCACCCAATCTCAACACCGTACCCACATCCCCTACTCCTAGAGAGAGCTGCCCTCCTGCAGCAGGGTGCAGTGGGTTTTCTCCCCATTTTGTGCATCTGGAAAACAGGGGTGCAGAGCAGGTGTGGGGGAGGGAGGTGGGTGCTGAAAGCCTTCAGGGGGTGTCCAGTTCCTCTCAGACGGCCCACTATCTGCAGGAAACGGGAAGCTTTGCCAGAACAACACGTAAAGGGATAACTCCACCGACAACGCTTCCTCCGATTAAAAGTGCACTTCTGATTCCACGTCGCCCCTCAAACCCCTCTCTCTCCAGTCCAGGAGAAGAAAGCCTTGGCTCTCAGGGACCCTGGGTTGCAGATCTCCTTCTCTCGATTTCACAACGCTCACTGACACCCCGATGTGGGGCCACCCCTGGACTCCCCACCTCCCACGTCCAACCTCTGGGGCGCCCACTCCGCAATTTCCCCCACCCCCCCGCCAACGATCCAATTCCTCGCTGCTTCCTCCCAAAGCCTCAAGGATGAAATGAGCAGGGTGCACACTTCTTTTAAAAAGAAAGTTCTCGTGGTATGGTCTCATTTAAAATCCTGGCTGTTCCTATAGAGGAATTTCTCTATTATGGCTTTGATGATTAGGGATGAGAGGTCGTTTCCCCATGTTATTTCATTATCTTCTGTCTACACTTCTCTCACTGACCTGAGGCTCACTGACACCTGAAGAAACTGGGATGTGAATGACCGCATGGCTTGCCTGGGGTGGAGGAGTTTCTCAGAATGTGGGCCTTCCCACGCTGGGACGGAGAAGGCACCAGTGGGTCACTGACCTCCATCACGAGGGACAGACTCTTCCTGACCCGTGTTGCTTTCCCAGGAGAAACGTGGGGCTGGTTTCACAACCATCACCAGGGACCTGGGGCGCCCCCAGGCAAGCAGGGGCACCAAGAGAGGAGCCTGGATTTGAAGCCAGACTGATCCCAGATTGGGGCTGTTCGGATCCCAGCCCCACCCCTGCAAGCTGGCGCCTGGAGCAGGGAGCTTCTTGAAGCCCCAGCTTCCTCATCTGTATGATAAGGACAGTGAGACTCCCCTCCCAGGGCAGCTGTGGGGAGAAAGAAGGAATAAAAGCACAGCAGGTGCTCATACAACACTGGATCTTGCCCTTTTTTGCTGTCACTGTTAAAAGCCCAGAAGAACAAGAACTAACTTCTCCGAATAATTGCAAGGAAGAACTCAAATATTTGATTTAATTCACATCCCCACACCCCACATCCCATCTTCTGCAGCGGGAGGGACTCTTTCCAAGAGAGACCCCAGAGCCCTGTCCTGGAATGGGGGGAGGGGTTCACGTCATGCGCACCGTCCACAGAGAGAGCCGACCGGGGTCACATGCTGCTCTGAGCAGGGTCAGAATGCACACAGGGGAGCCAGGCAGGAGGCTGATCTGATGGCAGAGACAGGAATTTGAGTCTAGGGTGACTGCTTGAAGTCACCACTCCGGAGATCCAGGAAAAGAGATGGCCACTTCAATGGTGAGCTCAAGGTTTCTGAAGCCTTGGGAAGAACACGCAAAAAAAGCCCCAGGCAGAGAAGGAGGGAAGCTGGCCCAAGGACCAGCCAGAACACTACATCAAAGTGTCCTGCGCTGGTGCCCAGGGCTGGGGCCAAGGACTTCCCAGTGATGCATCCAGGAGGGTCTGACGGCGGAGGACTCCCTTCCCAGTGTTCTTCCTCCTGTGAGAGGAAGGCTGAGGGGAGCCAGGTGGGGAGGACCAGGGAAGAGGTTGTTTCAGCACAAGCCCACCTGTCGGTGCAGGAAGAGGCTGGGGTTTTTCCTGCCCAGGTCAGAGCTCGGAAGCGATGCCAGCTTGGGAGGCACAGTTGGGACTGCCACAGTCGGCAGGGGTGGGACCAGCCAAGGTGATGAATGGGAGGCCTGCCAGCCCATGCTGTGATTTCTAAGTACTTGCAAGCTCAAGATGAGGGGGCTAACAGATTTCTTTGGCAGTCCTGTTTTTTTCCCCCTTTAATGGATTTTTTTTTTCAAATAGCTTCAGATCTACAGACAATAGGGAAGACAAGAAAGCTCCCGTGGTCTCCCCTACTCACACTGGTGCGATGCCTCTGTTACCACAAGTGAAATAAAAGGGATGCTTTATTATAGCAGACGTCCACGCCTGCTTCTGATTTCCTTAGTTTTTACTTATTTTATTTAACCTAACATTCTTTCCCTGCTCCAGGATTTCACATCGCATCTAGTCATTATGTCGCCTCAGGCTCCTCTAACTGTGACGGCCTCTTAGATTCTTCTTGTTTTTAATGACCTGGGGTTACGAGGAGTGCTGGTCAAGTGTTCTGGAGAAGGTCCCTTGGTTGGGAGGTCTGATGCCCATTTGGGCACATTTCTGCCCAATTCTGCCCTCCATGGTCTTGCTTTGTGTACACCGGTGGTATTTACGCTGGAAACTGGCAAACGAATCAAGTCTTCCCCCCCTAGAAAATTCACCACTTCCCAGAAAGCAGATTCTCAGGCACATCACTGATTCAAACCCAGGGAGTCAGAATTCTCACCGGTGTTCTCCACCACCAGGCCATATCCGATCTCTGAGCATGAGTCTACGTGTCTACAGGGTGGTGTGTGTGTGGGATGGGGGGTGGGGGGTGAAGTTCTGCCCCTCAGGGCTCCCAAGTTTTGTTAAAAACCCACATTCCCACACTGAGAGTTCAGATACTTATGGGATGACTTGTCTCAGTGAGCAAAGGCCCCAAGCGCCATGTGGCATAGATACGGATGCCCACCCGCGGCCAACCGGCCTCCTGGGCAGGACTGCCCTGTGCAGTCAGCCCCTGCAGACCGCGGCGGTGGCAGCCAGGCTGAAACACAGACCAGAGACGCCAGGACCAACTGGGCTCCAGCCAGTGGCATCTCCCTCTGAGAAAGGCAGGAGCCAAAAAGTGGTTAGCGGGGAGGCAGAGGAGGAGAGCGTGGCCTCTGGGGCTGGTTACCTCTTGGTTCAAACTCTGGCTCCACCACCCACTGTGGGGCTTTCCACAAGTCACTGCACCGTCCTAAGCCTCAGTTTTCTCATCTGTAAAATGGAGCAACAGGCCATCCCACATAGGTTGTCCAGAACAGGACAATAAGGGCAGAAGGCCTGACCCAGAGTAGGTGCTCGTGAGTGGTGGCTATTCAAGTCTCAGCAGACATGGAACAAGAGGGCAGAGAGAACAGGACAAGGCCAGGCGCTACAGCGATGCTTCAGGCGCCTCTCCTTCTTGGAGGATGCATTATCATGTTCAGCTCTCCACGAGTTTCAGGTGAAAAATTCTGTCCCATTTCCTCTTTAACGCGCATCTCTGCTTGTCAGGAGGAGGTGGCCTCTTCTCACAAGCTTACTGGCCATCATGTCTCCTGGTCTTTGCACTTTTTCCCCTTGAGGCGGTCATGCCTTCTCACTGATTCACACACACGTTTTGCACATTAAGTTTTTTTTTTTTAATCCTTTATTTGCCAAACATGCTGCAACTGCATCTTCCCGGTTCATCATTTGCCTTTCAAATGGATTTACAGTAAGGCGGATCTGACTGTTTCTCCACGCTTGAGGGTCACTTCTTATGCAGCCAAATCTAGCTCTCCCTTCCTTTGTGGTTTCTCGAGAAGAAACAGCCAAGGTTCAGGGCTGTTGTTGATCTGAGGTTGATCCCCGCTAATTGGCTTGCACATGAGAAACAACTGTAAAAGTTTCCGTTCCCCTCCCTCCTCCTCCAGCAAGCCGAGGGCCGTGCCTGGGCCTCCTCCCGGCCGGGCCTTGGCTCGGTGGGGTCACTCCCCTGCCCCCTGGAGCTCTGCCTGGCCCGGAGAAGGAGTGACTCACCCCGAGGCATGGCGCCTCAGCGGCCCAGCGGTTACAGGGTTTTCGTGGAGCATCCCCTCACCTGAGGGTGGGGGACCCCTGTTCCCTTCTGATGCTTGCGCAGGCTGGAGGGACATTCACATACGCACACACCCATGTGACCACTGCCCCGCTCCCAGGAGGCTCTCTCATGCCTCTTCCACGGCAACATCCCCCAGAAATAAGCACTCCTGTTACAACTATCACTACAGGCTAGTTCTGCCTGCCCCTGCTGCTACTGCAGCTAAGTCACGTCAGTCGTGTCCAACTCTATGTGACCCCCTAGACGGGCAGCCCACCAGGCTCCGCCGTCCCTGGGATTCTCCAGGCAAGAACAATGGAGTGGCTTGCCATTCCCTTCTCCAATGCATGAAAGTGAAAAGTGAAAGTGAAGTCGCTCAGTCGTGTCCGACTCTTCGCGACCCCATGGACTGCAGCCCACCAGGCTCCTCCGTCCGTGGGATTTTCCAGGCAAGAGTACTGGAGTGGGGTGCCACTGCCTGCTCCGTCTGCCTGCCCTTAAACTACATTTAAATGGAATCGTGCAGCATGTATTCATCTGTGTCCAGCTTATGTTGCTTAACATAATGCCTGTGAGACTGATCTGCAGGGTCTGTTATTTTTCGTGGCTGTATAGTACTCCCCTGTGTGATTATGTCATAATGTGCTTACCCATTCTACTATTGGGTCGTTTCCAGTTTCAGGCTGTTACTCTGGCTGCTCTGAACTCTCTTGATCATGTCTCTTGGTGAGTATTATTAAGAGTAGGATCACTGGGCATCAGGAGAAGGCAGAATAAACACAGTGGATCCTTGCCAAGACCTGGTAGGCAGGCAACATGAGCCTCATCATACAGATGAGCAAACAGAGAAGTCAAGTAATTTGCCTGGGGCCACACAGCTGGAGCAGAGCGAGCTGGGCCTCACACTCGGCTGTGTACAGCTCCCTTCTCGCGTGGGTGGGTGCCCTAAGTGGTACCTGGCAGTTATGCCCTGAGAGATTTGAAAGAGAGAGGACAGGGGAGGACAAGGTTCCTTAACTCCCTGGAAGAGCAGCAAGGCCCCACTCTGTCCCCAGGAGGCTGGGAGACCGAGGATGGGGCCGGGAGGGCTGAGCAAACAGAGACGCATGAATGAGGCCTAAGTCCAGCAAACCCCAAGCACATAATTTCATCTGGAAGCAAAGGCGTCCAGCCGCCCGGCGCGCCCTCCTTCTTGGGAAGAGGGCAGCCTCCAATCTGAAGCGCCTTTGTCTCCCCGGGGTGTCCGAGACAGGGTGGCAGAAGCCTCACTTGTGCAAACAGATGACAGTCAACGGTCCCCCGTGTCCCCCAGGGCCCGCCTTCAGCTTCAAAGGACCAACTATTTCTCCGGTCTCTCGAGTTTCTCGTCTGCAGCCTCCTGTTGGCGGTGAGCACCCGCTCTGTCTGGTCCTTGGTCTGAAACCTGCAGGGGGTGGGGGGCGCTCACCTGTGTGACATGGGTGCCCATCCCGCTGGCCCCCTCACAGGGTTGCGAGCCGACAGAGGGTGCCGGTGGGGCCGGAAGGCACTCACATGCACGGAGGGGGATGCACACAACCACAGTCCCACGTGTGCGGAAGGCTGCTTTCCCATGACCGGCTGGGTGAAGGGCCACAGAATCAGACAGGCCGGCAGGGCCCCGCACTCCGCCCAGGGGTGGTGCTCCATGCCCCTTCCGCCACTCTCAAAAACTCTAACCTTCCCCTCTGAACATCCCTCCTCTCCAGGGGCTACACGGCCACCACGGTTACACAGGCAGCTGCCTGTGTAGGCTGGGACCCCGCCCAGCAGCCACGGTGATGGTCCAGGGGTCAGTACTGCCCCTGAGCCTGGCCATGTGGGGTCCTTTCTGGGGAATCTGGAAACAGGGTGAGAGCAACGGAGAAGCAGCAGGGGAAGCTGGGTACACTGGAGGCCATGGGTCAGCCCGAGGGAGCAGGAGGAGGAAGCGAAGGGGGAGGAAGTGGGGACGGAGGGGCTTTGGGTGCTGCTGTCCTGCGGCCTCTTGAGCCATGCTGCCGTGATGCACGCCTGACCCTCGGGAGGCTAACTGTGGACAGCGCCTTTCAGTGGGTCCTGAGGATGCACAGGAGCTTGTGAAGGCCTGGGAGAAAGGCTCGTCTCCTCTGAGCAAGCCCGCTGGCACCCGAAGGCGCGAGCGTCCCTGTGGAAGGTCTGCCACGTGGCCAGACGCACCCTCTGCACACCCGGCGGGGGCATGGACTCCGGGCTCAAGTTCACCCGCTGCCCCAACCTTGGTCTAAGTAGGGACTTTCCACAGACTCCACGGTGACCATGCCATTGCTGCCTCACTCCCGGAACTGAGCCCGTCGCCAGCCAGGATGTCCTGCGCTCCCACCCGGATCGGCCAGACCTCACAGGGCTCTCCAGAGCACAAACCAGGCGGGAGGCCGCCGCTCCACCCTCATCGTCCTGGAACCCCGACCTGCAAGCGCGCACGTGCACGCGCGCTCCCCTGCTTCGCTTCGGCACGTTATCAGAGGCAAATTCATGATCTGTATACTCATCCAACACCGGGTGTGAGTTTTACTCCTTCCTCTAGCCCTGCCTCCTTTCATCAGTCACTTGTTATGTGCGGATTCTTCCCCCAGACCCGGTTTCTCAGAGGGTGACCCCCAGGGCCATAGCCTCAGGCCCGCCTGGGCCTGCACATCTGAAATACAGAGCCGCCGGCATGCTGCCCGCAGCCCCCCTCCCCACGCTCCTGTACAGGCTCCCTGAGCCCTGCCCCTCCCCACCCCCAGTGACCCTCAAAGATTCCAGGAAGGGGCTGAGAACCCCAGGACGCAGAGACGAGATTCCTCTCTAATAGCTTTATGGTTTATTTCTGTTCTGAGAGCATTAAATATACAACACGCACCCACCACAAAGATCTATCTCTATTTTTAACCGTGCCTATGTATACATTTGCTTTTAAATGGAGTGTCTGGAGAGCTTCGTGAAACATCTTAGGTAAGCCCCCCTGCCAAAGAAAGGTGGCTTCAGTGGGGGTGTAGAGGGCGGTGCGGATGGCCCCAGTGCTAACGAGGCCTTTATTTTTTTTAATTTTTAATTTTTAGGCCATGCTGCATGGCATGTGAGAATCCCAGTTTCCCAGCCAGGGATGGAACCCGCGCCCCCTGCAGTGGAAACGCAGTGGGGTCTTAAGCACTGGGCTGCCAGGGAAGTGCCCCAACCAGCCGCTGACCCCCTTCTTGCGTGGGGCTTTACATTCTCTTCTCTCTCGGGAGACACATCTGCCCAATTGAGACCCAGACTCCGCTGTGATGTAACAGCCACCTGCTTCTCTCCACCCACCCCGAGCTCTCTCAGACCACGTACGTCCATCTGTCCGAAAGCTGCAGGCTCGGAGCGAGGAGGGAGGCTGAGAGGCTGGCCTCTGGGCCCCGGCCTCGGGCTCTGCGGCTCCAGAGGCCACTGGGCAGAGGCTCCGCTGGCTGGAGACGGCCAGGCCGCGGCAGGGCTGGTCGGCCTCCAGCCTGCGGTCTGCGATGGGAGCCTGGCTCTTCTGGGCGAGGTTAACGGCCAGATAGCAGCGGGAGCGCGGCCAAAGGCAGAGACTTTTCTAGGTATTGATCTGTTTTCCAGGGCACCTCATCTCTGCGCCATGAAGCCTGGGAATAGCAAGAGCATAAGAGAGGCAGCCTGACGCTGCCGGCTGGGACAGAGGCAGAATGTGCCTGCCTCTTGCTGCTTCACGATCACCTCATCTGGTTCACCCCGAGCTGCTAGCTTTAAAGTTTACGGGTGACCTGCGTGCCTAGTGAAGACCCCCAGCACCATGCAGCAGACTCGAGAAGGGTCTGACAGTGTGCGTGCCCAGCACACTTCCAGGCGAGGCAGACCAGACGGAGGAGGTTATCACCAGCATTCCCACATTAACCACACACAGGGAACTGCAGCTTGTAGAATTCATGGTCCGCCTGGAGTCCCACAGGCGGGAGACGCAGAGGCGGGATCTGAACCTGGGCTGGGGGCCCCAGGACCCCAGGGCGTAACTACACCCTGGGGGAGCCTTCCCCCAGGCGCCCTCTAGGCTTTGCTTCGTTCTCGCCAGTTGCCCGGGTCTGGGGTGCCAGCCGGGCTGTGGGAACTGGAAGATGAACCCTCCTCTCAGTCAGCATGGGTCACGGCCGGGCGAGCTGGGGACGCCTTTGTGCAAAGAACAAGGTGCCCTTTAGGCAGCGTGGGTCAGTTCCTCGCCAAGGCATGTGGGATCCCGGCCCACTTGACCCTTGGCCGTGACAAAGACCAAAATGAAAAGCTGAAAATCGTGCCGCCAGCTGCGAGAGGCCCTGTCCCCACCCTCCACCACCCCGGTGTTTCAGGCTGAGGCAGTGAATTATAGGAAGAGCACGGCCCTGCGTTCCTCCAACAGTCCAGAGTCCAAATTCCACCTTTACTATTGGCCGCTGTGTGACGCTGAGCAAGTGACTGCACCTCTCTGAGCCTCAGTGTCCACACTGGAAAAGGGGGGAGATAACGCCCTCCCTCACGGAACTATTGTGAAATATGAACTCTGCGCCCCTCGACGCTGGCACAGAGTCGACACTGCATAGATGAACGAGCCAGGCAGGTGCTCAGGGGCCCAGCGGGGCAACACACCCGTGATGAGAGAGAGGGCATCGTCAGGGAGAAAGGGGAGGACTGCTTGGCGGCCACTGTCACGGGTCACTGCCCAGTGAGACCGCCCTGGCCCCAGAGGCCAGGCTCGCCGTGTCGGCCCTAAAGGGCCTTGCTTGGGGGCAAAGGGTCTGGCGCCTCGCAGGCGGTTTCTGGGATGAGAGAACACCAGAGAGGAGCTCTGCGTGTGCAGCTCAGAGCTGAAGTCTGATGCTCTGCGCTTCAAGCCAGGGAGCCTGGCAGGCCACGGCCCTTCGTGGGGAGTCCCCAGCTCAGCCCAGCCGTGAGCTCCGGTTACGTCCACGCCCTCATCTCGGAGGTGCCTCCCCACCAACGACCCCGAGCCGCCCTCAGCTTCCCTCCCTCGCACGTGTATACCCCCTCGACCCCGGGCAAGTCCCGTCCACTTCCCCGCCAGCCAGGTCCTGCAGCCAGCCCCTGGTCACAGCCCCCACCAAGCATCATATAACTCTGCCCCGGTTATGAGAGCAGCCCCCGCGGGCGCCCAGACGCTCTCCCCACCCCTGTCCTCAGCCCCATCTACACACCTGGCAGAACAGTCTGTCTGTAACGGCGGAGGTGTTCTGTATCTGTGCTGGCCACCAGGTGTGCGGAATGTGGCCCCAGAGACGGAGGAACCGCACTTTCGACTTCATTTCTTTTCACTTAAATTTCAATGGCCACCTGTGTCTAGTGGCGCTCTATCAGACTGGAGGCTTAGCCCATCCTCCATCCAGTAGCTGAGGGATGGACTTTAAAGGCAAAGTCAGGCTGTGTGCCTACTCTGCTCAAAAGCCCCCAGAGGCCCCCTTCTCACTCAGAAGGAAACGCAGAGCCCGGGCGCTTACCTGTGAGACCCTCTGTGACCCGCCAGCCTCTCTCTCTGCAGCCTGAGCACCCACCGCCCTCTTCCTCGCTCGCTCGGCTCCACCCCGAAGGCTGCCCTGTAGCTGCTCACCCCGGCCAAGCCCACTCGTGCCACAGGGCCTTGGCACGTGCCGTGTACACACACACTCCCTAAACATCGTCCCAGCTGGTGCCCTTCACTCAGTGCTCTGTACTGATGCCACGAAATGACATCCGCGTCCCCAGTGCCTCACCAGCCCCGCCCCAGCTTGCTTTCTTCAGAACGCCTATGTTCACCTGAAATATGGTATCACCTGTTCACATGTCTGTTCTTTCCTTCCTTGCCAGAATGTGAGATTCACCGACACAAAACCTTTGCCTGTCAAGCTCATGGTTTCCTGAGCCTGGAGCAGCCCTGGCTGGGCACACAGCACATGAAGTTGAGCAGAAGCGTCGTTAAGGTACCCAGAGCACAGTAGGTGCTCGCTGCGATCATCATTCTCGCTCCAAACTCGACCGGCCCGTGTCAGGGCTTGATGTCACATCGCCTGGCCCACCCGGCCGGGCCTGGCGTTCCCTTTAATAAAAGCCCACGGGGGGACGACACCTACTCCTCTGCCCGCGTGCCCCGCCTGTGGGTGCCAAGAAACCGGAAGCCCCGCAGAGAAGGACGTGCCGTGCGAGAGGGCAGCAGGGGGCACTCGCGGGCCCGGGTGCCAGGCAGTCACACCCCATCCCTCACAAACCCGGGCAAGTGGGTTCCACCAGGAATCGCCGCGTGTTTACACGGCTGTCTTATCTACCCTCGTGGCTGCCGGAGTCTGCGCCTTGCTTTTGAAAGGACAGAGTATGCTGGGGAGCGACGCCGAAGGGGACCAGCATCACGATCGCAGGGCACGTGTCTGCAGGGGGAGGGGAGGCAGGTTCGGGTGGCTGAGAACCTACTGTGTGCAGCCCTGTTTCAACGCTCTGGACCCACCCTCGCGGTGCCGTGGGTTTAAGTGAGCACACGCGATGCAGGTGCTTCCCGTGGCGCCTGGCATCCAGGGACAAGCCCACCGTGAGTGTTGCTCCTTCTGTCCACACACAGGGCCCTGACGCATTAACCACCCCTCCTCCTGGAAGCCACACCCACCCAGCGCAGACAGCTCCCCACTTTTAACAACTCTTTTTTATCTTACAACCATTTTAGTTAGACGCGAACATCTCCGTGACCATGGAGCCCTTGTCACAACCAAGAAGCCGGCCTTGGGACGTGACTACCAGCTAACCTGACCTTTCACCTGAACTCGGCTGCCCGCCCCCGCCCTGCCCTGGGACCCGGGTCAGGACCCCAGATTACATGTGCCTTCCACCCTCGCCGCCTCAGGTCGGGGAGCGACTCACACGGGCCTCGTCTTTGAGGTTCTCGACAGGCTTGAGGAGCATGGCTCAGGGGCTTTACAGAACGTCCTTGAGTCTGGGTTTCTCCCGTGGGGCATCCCATTTTTCTTCATTGAGGTAAAGTATACATGAGCAACATTTATGATCTGAGCCGTTTTTAAGTAGCGTTAACTACACACACACTGTCGTGCACCCACCACCATCCACCAGGCTCCAGAACTTTCTAGAACTTTCTCAGTCTTCCCAGCTGGAACTCCGCCCCCATGACACGTTCACTCCTCATTCACCACCTGCCACCCCCCACCCCCACCTCGGGGTGCCCACCATTCCACCCTGTCTCTGAATGCAAACCGGAACCACCACCAAGACGCCACTTCACACCTGTTAGGATGGCCATTATCAAAACAACAGAAAGCAGCAAGTGCTGGGAAGACAGGGGACTGTGTTACAAAACAGCCGGCGAAGTGGGAAACAGATCAGTGGTTCCTCCAAAAACCAAACATGGAATCACCGCATGACCTAGCGCTTCCATTCCTAGGGATATGGTCTCAAAAATCCACACAAGGGACTTGCATGGGTATTTGGACAACTGTGTTCATAGCAGCGTTATTCATAATACCAAGAAAGTGGAAGAACCCTGATTTCCTTTTAAAACGGGCCCCCCCCCGGAACAGTCAACGCCTGTGTCC